GGTAGGCTGTGGTCATACAGGGATGGACATGGTCAGCAGCAACACTCAGGTAGGCTGTGGTCATACAGGGATGGACATGGTCAGTAACAATACTCGGGTAGGCTGTGGCATTAAAACGATGCTCAATTGGTACTAAGGGGCTCAATGGGTAACAAGATAATATCCCCCACACCATTACACCACCACCCCCAGCCTGAATTATGGATGCAAGGCAGGATGGATCCATGTTTTCATATTGTTTATATCAAATTTTGACCCCACTCTGAAAGTACTCTATAGTATATAAATATATGCTTGCTGCTATAATTACGGGACAAGAGTTTAAACAACTTGTTACACATAAACCTTTGCTACAGTTAAAACAATAAACTACTACAATTTTCTAATGGATATACCTGTTTTTATGTGAATGTGGTGGAATGCTACGGATATAGGCCAACGTATTAAGTTTTATTTATGTTCTCGATTCGTTAAATAAACATTGTAAAAAAAACTTATTTAAACGTGATTTTCTAAATTCCATTTCCAAAAACAGACCTGGATTATATGTTTACAGGAATGTTCCATTTAATAATAATTACTAGCAGTAATATGACGATATTATTCATTAATAAATAATTCTGTGCCCCCTCTGTTATTACATAAAGTGATAGATCTCTGCCTTTTTCTTTACGACGCATAGGATGAAGCCCCTCACGATGCTCCCAGGAATGCCCTCATTTCTTAAAGCTCTCTATAATGAATGACTTCTAAATAATAAATAAACAAATAAATACATTAATGAGGTAAACAGGTGCGCGCGGAGCAGACCGGGGACCACAGGCAGGTGGATCACGTGCAGACTCGGTCCCGTTAAAGTTTAAGCTCGATCCCACGCGCGGGACGCCGACCTCGAGGCGGCAGTCGGAGGTTTCGCGGCTCCAGTGGCGGCCGTGCCGCTACGCCGAACTCTCCGAAGCGGGCCCGCTGCCCTCCCAGCCATGAGCAGCTGCCTTTGCGTGAGGAGGAGGTGGGACGAAGCACCGCGGCTAGCAGTTAAGTTCGTCTGGCCGTACTGTGAGGCTGACGGCGCTGGCCTCAGGAGAGACAGGGGAGGGAAAGTGCTTAAAACTGCCGCCGCTTTACTTTGATTCTGCGTCGACACCAGTGTATAAAACTACTTGTAAAACCACGTGTACACGAATCCTTTTTTTAAAAACTTAGCATTATAAATGTACAATCCCTCGTAACTGGTTTATTTATGTCGCGTTAGCCAGCAAGCTATTGCTAGTGACGCGTGGAGCTCGTTACTGTAGCAACGGCGGCACAACTGCGCAGCCCGGTGGTTTAGCTTAGCTTAGCGCCGTAAAAGCGGATTAATATCCCCTGCAATCACCCTCACGTGTTGTTAGTTAGCCGCATGGCGTTTTAAATTATTATTTTCTTATTAAATTATTGAAATGTCTCTTGGGCGGTTGGTTGGCATCCAAGATGCATGCGAAAGTGGCTTTTAAATGACAAGCTTTGTTACTATCAATCTTGCGTTTTTAGGTATCATACCTTTAAATAAAACATGCCGAGAATTTTTTTCCCCAAAAGACATAAGGAGCTGCTGTATATGTTCCTGTTTTTAGCAGATGCAGTACCGGTTTAAAATGCACCTTTAATCGGCACCTTCATTGCCTCCTTATCGGTTTGGCCTCATTTTACTGGTGCCTTGGCAAGAAGAATCACATTTACCTGCCTTTTTTCTGCAGTTGCAAGCACTTCATTTTTTGCCTGACCCACGAACAGTGTTTCTAAACCTGATTTTAAATGGGGTTCCGGATCTGTATTTTAGCTGCTCCTGTGTGATGCTGGGGAATTTTAGCTCTACTTCCCTAAACAGCCCGGAGCGCAACACAAGCCTTGGTCGGAGCAGCCTTCGTGATCTCCGGGGTGTGCGTCGCTGTCCCCCAGCCATTAGCTGGCGCTCTCCAAAGATCCTTTCACTTGTTAATTTCTGGCAGATATTAACTGGGTTCCCCCGAGGGCTGATTTCCCGAAAGGACAGTACCGTAACCGGCAAGGTTATCCCGTGCCCTTTGGTAGACTGCTGCCGGCTGCCTTATTTGCATGCCTAAACAGTCTATACTTTTGCACGGTTTTCTGTCCGTCTCCGGAGAGTTCAAGAAACCGTTTTCTTCTCGGAGGTTGTTTCACTTCAGCTTTTTTGTGCACATGGGGTTAAATTGCTTGACAGGTTTTCAAGATAAGTCTCCATTATTAGCACACTGCGAGTTTACTTTAGCCTGCACTGACAGACTTCAATTTTCCAATAAAAGTCAGCTTGTAACGAAATGGCTTGTCACTGTTTCGGAAAATCCCGATTGATTAGTGTGCAAATTAACGCGAGAAAGTGATGGTTCTCCGTCTCTAAGTTAATTTGCTTTTCCCAAATAAGGCACCCCAACAAACTTTTGGCAAACGGAAAGACCTCTGCCACTCCAAGTCAACCCCGATTTAATAAACCCTAATTACAATAAATTCAGTAAACGTTTAGATGGAGCGCAGTAAACCGTGCCATTTAAATTATCTTTAAAATGCTTTAAAGATAATTTAATAATATGGCAAGGGAACGTCTGCGAGATCACTAATCTTCTCCACCGTTACTGAATGCGCATTAAGCCAAAGCGTCTTTGGACAGGAGCATGCGGTCATAGATCTGCATTTAGGAGACCTCCTTGGAAATATATGCCGCCCCAGCTTGTTATTCAGCCCCCGCACGATAGTTTCTAATCGCCCGTAGCAGCTGGGCCGCCTGGTTGTTTGGGAAGCCGGGGCCGGGGCCGGGTCTTTCAAAGCAGCCGATTTAGGCAGAACATTCTCCGTTTCCTTTATGAATAGGCTGCGAAGAAGCGACTCCGCTCTGATTTTAATATATTCGGTGACACTGTATGGAAATTGATGTTACGCTTTTATCGCATTAAATAACCGGCTTGTTTTTGATTAATACTCTCATAGATGCAGTTTTGGTGTAAATCTGTTGTTTCATTTTAAGGCATTTCCCCCCAAATGCAATCTTCTGCTATAAAGTTTAGGGTAATGTTTATTTCCTTGTGGATATAATAATGATTTATACAATATGTTCCGCTGGTTATGGTCACCTGTCAACTTAAAAATATTAATATTATGATCTGCCCCTATAGGATTTAAGTTTGGCGGAGGGTGTCTGTTTCCTTCGTGTGGTTATTTACCTTTGTCCTGAGATGATATTTTGACGGAAGCTGTCTCATTCATGGGGTTTGATGAGACCTACCAGGGTAATAATAGAGATTCATTATATCAGTTAAGCACTTAAACGGCGTGCATGTGATGCATGTGAGACTTCTGTACAGTTGTAGGCTTATGATCTGTAAGCTTGAAAAAAATGTAAAGAAGGTGAGCCAGCTGCAGTTTGAGGCGCATTTCGCAGAATGTCGGGCTTTTCTTCGGAGGTAACCGAAAGCAGCGCATACTCATTCAGGACGAGTATGACGATAGCTCGCTGTTGGAGCACGGTGGTGTCTAAGAGGCATTAAACGCTTCAGGTTTCATTGCGTTTAGAGTCTGGACTCTGCCGAATTGGACACGGAGGGGAGGGGGGCGTCGTAAACCTGCGGTCGCGGTACCGCGGCCAACCGTAAACCCGCTGCGCGTTAACGGGAACTTGGCTTGAAACTGCCGGGCGATAAAACCGCGCAGGAGTCCGCTGGCAGATAGCACTGATGGTCATGATCTGGGTATTAGTTCGGTTTTATTTGAACTGATACCCCCCCCCCCAACTGCAGCTATAAAAAAACATCATGAGTCAGTATTAGGGTGCAACCTCATGTAACGTGAGCTGAAGGTGAAAGTGGAGGAAGTAAGAAGAAACGCCAGTACTGGCTTCCAGAGGCTTTAAAGACCGCCGCCCGCTCGCAACCAAGTAATAAAATCTTTTTAATTTCTTTTTAATGGATGCACATCCACCCAGAGAGGCGATGAGGAGCGCAGTGAGAGTGCGGCGCTGGGAAAGCCTTCCCGATCCAACGTGTTAGGGAATATGATTGTAATATGAAAAATATTGCTAAAAAAACTACTTAATGTGCAAACTTGGTTACACCGCATGTTTTATGCTTTAACGATGTTTAATTGTGCGGATAAGTATGGCTGTAAACCAAGAAAACTGACAGAATACTTCTCCCTGTGAAGCAACTGGCTGGCATTGTGAAGTCCAACTTCAGAATTTAATGATTTTTTTTTTTTTTAAAGCGGCCAAGTGTGCAGCCTCACACCTCCAAGGCTGTTGGTTCAGTTCCTGCCTCTGGTTCTGTGTGTGTGAAGCTTGCACAGGTTTTCTCTGGTTACTTGAGGTGCCCCCCTCAATCCAAAATATACAGTTAGATGAATTGCCTGTGGTGTGTTATTGTGGAAAGGCGATAGATGGATAGCTAGATGCTTTTTTGAACTCTGCTGCCCACAAGCTTGTCATCCTTCCAGTTCAGTTTATCCCATGATAGAGAAGTGCTGATATACATTAAAAACTGGAAAAATACCCACTGTTCCATGCTAAATAATGCACACTACCATCACTCATCTATACAATCTGGAATTCTATTGACCATAATGCCTTTACTGCTCCACTGCGGTTTGAGATGCACCCACATGTAGCATTCATGTTTAAACCCAGCACCGTCCATTTATGTTCTTCCTCTGTTCCAGAGAAGGGGGCTCCTTATTACCTGTGCTAGAGCTCGGCACACAACAACCAATCTTCGTAAGACCCATATGGCTTCACCAATTACTGTTCCGTCCTTAGTAAGGGGGCAGTGTCACCCTGTTTAGCGTCTTACAAAGATAATCCTTCACCATATAGTGTGTGGTACATATGATATGAATTAAAGCATATTCTAGTGAAAACACCAAGACAATGATGTAAATGAGGCTTGATTTTAAAATGCATGTTTGAAACACATTTGTTTGAACAACAGATATTGCTCAGGTGGCTTTGATTATGCGTCTCCTGGACCTTGCTTCTGACTCAGAGGAGCTCGTTCTTCAGCTTTCTGGGAGTGACCTTGAGTTGCCAGCTGTGCACAGACAAACCCCTCCACTATAAGTCTTTCTCCCTTGTTTGTTGAAGTGTTTCAAGCCCAATTCTGACCCCAGGATATTTGTTGGGTGTTTTTTTTTTTTTTTTTTTTGGAGGGCTATGTTTGTTGACTCAGCCATTGTAGAAAGCAGACGTACCCCCCCTGTCGTTTTTAGCTACCAATGGCCACCCGCTGCCTCTGTCCTCCATATGCTGGGTCTGGTTTTAGCAGGAGAGAAACCCATAACACATGAGGCTTGCTGCAGGAAAATGGCTTTTGTTTAATAAGCACTGAAACCTCTCGGGGTGGATCTTTGGTGCTCCCCGACTGTAGCTGTGGAATAATCATGTGTTTTTTTGTGTCTTGTCCTTGAACATTGGGGACACGGCTTACTTTTAGGGAGCTTCCTGCATATGTAGTAGGGCCACATAGCATCAAACAGGCTGACTGTCACCTTAAATTTTATTGAATAAATTACCGGCACTCTGGCAAGAGTAAAAATAAAAATTATATTACCTGAAATGGACTGTATAATGAAGGAGTTGCACAACTTAATAACAACTTAAGACAACTTAATAGTTCCCTTGCTGTAGGTTCATTTTCTCACTTTTAACTTCATTCTTTGTCTTGCTCTGTATATTTTTGGCTCAGAGGTTCTTTTCAAAGTTTTTTTAGTTATTTTTGTCATTAATTTAATAGTGAATATTCACGAGTTATAAGAGGGTGTGAACGAGCATACCCTGAAATGTCACCTTGTCTTTATGTAGTCAGGTTCTGAATTTTGTTAGATGCTCTAATGGAAATAGATGGACTTGTGAATGTAATAATGCAAACTGCTTGCTTTTATCTGTTTCCTTAAGGTCTCGATCCTCACTAGCAGCATATGGCTTCCAAAGGTTCACTGCCGTTTAGATACTTCCTGTTTAGATATGCACTTATATTATTGCTATTTTTCCCCTGATTTTTCCACTGATTTTTAAATGCGAGGCAAAGTCTTGCGACTTTTTAGCACCTTGTCGTCTTTGCATTTTCCCCCCAACATTTCCCATGTTGTTTGACACCCAGCAGAGGGGTTTTCTGTTTTATTAGGGCGCTGACAGTCTCACCCCTACGTTTCAGAGCCCTGCCGCAATGCCAAAGGTGTGGGATCTGGCCGGGGCTCTTCCGGAAGTGTCTGTGAACCCCATAACTGGAGTCGGGGTGGTGGCTTCCCGCAAGCGTGCTCCGTCTGGCTACTGCGTGGTGAGTATCATCGTCTCTTTGTGATCACTTGGTTGCTTCACTGCGGTTTAATCAAACGATGCGGCATTAATCAGGAGAATTATCATCTCGTCCCGTTTGAATCAAATGCCACGCAGCTGAAAACCAGCCAATTACCACACTGTCGTGGGGATTTGCAGAGTGGGTAAGCCAGCAAGGGAGTCTGCCGTTTCTGTGCCATTGTCCTGCTTTCATTTAACCACCCTCATTCAGTTTGCCATGGCATTTTTTTTGTGAAGTAAGAGGGAACTCTTTTTGTTTGGTTTTGTGCTCTTGAGAGAAACTGAGTATGGGTTAGAAGAATTACACTGTAACCCAGAAATTTTAATTACCAAAGACTAAACACAGAGGAAACGTCTTTTTATTGCAGAGGGGGTTTGCGTTGTGGAACACTGAACCTCCTCTGAGACCATCCCAAGAGATCTCCTGTTATGGGTCTCTTCCTGTCTACCTCTACTCAGAGGGGGGGGGTTTGCTTTGTTCACCACTTCTGAGGGCTTAGACGACCCCCAGTGCCACAAGGCAAGAAGCAGCACTGCAGTGTTAGCAGTCCCAGTGTGAGAGCTATGATGGTGGATGGGATGGGATGGGATGGGGTGGGGTGGGGGACTCAGCCTATGGATTTAGCTAAACACAGAGCAAACATGGAAACACAGAGCCAGCAGGGGGCTTCAGGGCAGCGCCTTCCTCCTTCCGTCTCTCTGATGTCACGCTCCTGCGTCGCTCTTCACTCTGTGCTCGCTCTCTCTCTCACACTCCCTTCAGCAGCAGCTCCCTCCCCCCCTTCTGTTTCGGTTCCCGGCGGGAGATGGCATGGCATGTTGATGAAGTACCGCAGGCTGGCACCGGGAATCCGCTAAACGGCACATGGCACACTTAGGCAGAGAGGCATCCTCTCCGAATCCCTGCCCATCCCTCTTTCCATGCTGCCTTTCTGCTGAGACCCCTTGCTGTCAGGGCCTCCTTATCCGGGCTCAGCCGTGTGCTGCTTATTTTTTTAGGGCGATACCACAGATTTTTTGGTATCCACATGTGAAGGCCCCAGATGCAGATTTTGTGGAATCATTGTGAAACCTTTCCTGCAAATCTTTTTTGGGTTTTGTGTCCAGTGTGTAGATATTTGTAAGTGTTTGTGAAAACTTAGAATTTATATATATATATACATACACACACACACACACAGTGGTACCTCGGTTCTCAAACTTAATCCGTTCTGGACTCCGGATCGAATCCTAAAAAGTTCGAGTTCTGATCAAATTTTTCCCATAAGAAATAATGGAAAACCAATTCATTGGTTCCTGCCCCCCAAAATTTATTTTTTTAGCATTTAAACACAAAATGAACAGGATAAAACAAGAGCATTTTTTTCTTATTGGCTTCCAAAACGATAAAGATCTTATCTCAACATTACCCCTGTCCTGCCCCGATCGTCCGCTCCTTCCGTGTGCCACGCCCCCTCGTGTAGGATCCCCATGTGATCAGCTGTTTCTGGTTGTTGTCATTAGTCCTCTGCATTAAGTTTGCTTTTCAGTTTGTTTCCCTAGTCCGGTCATTGGGTGCGTTCGCATTGCTTACAGCGCTGGCTTAAAGCAATGCATTCTGATCCTGACGCAATGCATTACGGTTAGATGCATTGCGACCTCTCATCCGGCTGCACAAACTGGAACCGCCTCCGTGACGACACACCTTTGCCCTTATTGGCTGAAGTTTAGTTACACGCATGACGTTTGTATCCCAGGCAGTTCCGATGTGTGCCTGTGTGCCTATATATGGTTCAGTTGGAACTTTAAGGCACAGAAAAATCTCCTGGGGTTTACAGATGTTTAGTAAGAATGCTCACAAACAGAAATGTGTTTGAGACTCACCGTTTGCCCTCAAATGCTGATTAAAGGATGCATAACAATGCTTTGAATCTGCATGTGGCAGAAATAAGATTACGCAGCTTAATCAGAGATGGCTGCTCACCATGGTATTTAACCCACCGATAAAATGACGTTGGGACCGCTCTTTTCGTTGCGCCTCCATTCTGACATGGCTTCCCCTTCCCTGGCGCAGAGTGGGCCCCATGGGGACCGGGAATCGGCCCAGTTGAGGGACATCAAACACACCGACGGACCGTTCCACCACAGGAAATGGCGGTGTGATTCTGAATGTACTGGAGTGTGCTGCGTGTCGCTCTCCAAATGCATTATCATAAGTTGGTTCAAGTGATTGCAGAGCATGTGGGATTTGTCTGGGGAGCTGATTACCAGTCGTTTACCTTTAAACCCCACTGACCTGTGAGTTGCGTCATCTTTATTGGCCTCCAGACTGATAGCAAACCTGACATACTTTCCCAAAAAAGCAGGGGGTGTAACGTCCTGTAGTGTGGCGCGCCCCTCCTTCTCCCGACGGAAAGCCCACCAAGCATTTCCGACTCCGGCTGCTTGTTGCGTTCCTCCTCTTCTCCGCATCCTAATCTTCATCCCAGGAGACCTCGTTACTGCGGATGCTGCTTTTGTTCAAAGTTTTCTTTTATTTTCTCTTTGCATTATTAATAACATGTCGGCCTCATCTCTTCCACAGAAATAAAATGCTGTTTATAATGAGATCAGCTCTACAGTAGGTGCGTTTAAATCCTCTCCTGTGTGGCATCTCTGATTACTACACAGGATGCCACTGTGCTGCTGTTGCACGGTAATTATTAATCCTCTGTATTGTGCATCAGTTTGCCGTTATCACTGCTGCGTAGTGGTCGGGTCGGGCCAGGGAGCGCTCTTGTGTCCTCGGGGTCCAGGACCACTTTAGCGGGTACTGTCACCCCTGGGGGGAGAGTCCCATTCACTATTTATCCATGTCTAACTTTTTGGCTAGGTGTTCATTGTTTAAAAAAATGGCCAGCAGGGGATTTTCTGCAAACAGCTCATTTTCCAAGTTTTCACTTGCATGTAAATAGCAGGAATAATGGTAGAAGAGTCTCTGAGGCTCCTCCAAAATGTGTTTGGGTTTGGCACCGGTGGGACGAGAACCCAGAAAGCCCCCCCCCCCTCCCCCATTGAGGGCCCCCTCCCCCACAGACATGCTGTCCCTAAGGACCCTGCTGCAGCAGCGTGACGCTCAGGTGCACCCCCACCCTCCCTTGACATTGGGTTTCGTGCCACTGTCCCCTTTGTCTCCTCTGACAGGATGGTGTGTACTGACCCGGAAAAGGCGTCCAAGACGGGTTGTCTTGTTCGGATTGAGAGTGGAGGGGGTTGGCGGGGGGGGGTCGCGATGTACTGCCTCCTCCTGGGACCCATCTCAGACCTTGGATGCTGCCTCCTCCTCGCTCGCTCTTGCTCCCCATCTTCTCACCGTGGGTTTTGCATGAGTCGTTGCCATGCTTTGTTTTTCTCCTGCAATCACCCTACCCGCCTCTGAGGTCATTCATCATTATTGTCAGTCCTGTAGTGTGCGTGGCGGATCCCTCACCGAAGCGGATCCTGTCACAGCACCTCCCCTTTAAAAAAAATAAATAAAAATTGGGGGGGTGGGGATCAGAGTGGGGCCCTGGCCCTGATTTTCGGGCGGGGGTGCCCACCTACAGTATCATCCTCACCTTGACGATGGGGGAACATAGCCCTTTGCATATCATCCCATAGGTGAGCTGGGTTTTAACATTGTGGGGGGGAGCTGCACTCAGTACCCCAGCTGGGCTGTGTCGTAGCGCTTGAGTAAGCGTGCAGTGATCTAAATACACCCCTGTATTCCAGTGCCCTGGGACCAGCTGTCGGGCACCATTATGGAAGGGCAACTGAGCTGCTTCGTCCAACAGCTCTTCTGCGGCTGGCTACTGCAGAGGGGTCCCTTATCTTGTATGCATATCTCTACGTTTCTGGCAGGTAATAGAGAGAACCTGGATCTGCCAAGGGTTAAATTGTCAGAGCATGCGAGTTAAAGAAATTCACAATTTCATAAATTGTGTATTTCTTTTGTATATTGCCTTTTTAACTAGCTCTTGAAGAAGGCATGCCCACCATGGCTGAGTTAATCATCTTAATTATGGCTCTTAATTATGCTTACGATTTTTCCCACTTGCATTCTTTTTAGGAGTTTTTGTTTGACATGTTAGTTGGGCATTTCCTCTTAAGTAAGACGTATGCACCTTTTCGCCAAGCTCGCTGAGGGACGTGTCTGCTCTTCTGGGCAGAACTCCATGGCGCAAAAGGTTTTGACATGACTTTTGAGGCTAGGATGGGGGAGGGGAGCCTTGCCGGGAAGGTGCCAGGAAAGTGTAAATGCTTTTGAAGGGTCGAAGTACAAAACAAGCTTGGGAAATGGATTTGCCGAGTTGGCTTGCCTTTTTAAAGGGGCTGACGGGTGGGCAGACGCCCCCACAAAGCCGCCCGCTTTTAGCCAAGGCTTCCATCATGTCGTGTTTGTGAGTAGGAGGAGCACTTTCAGCAACACACTGAGACAGCTGAGCTGCTCCATGCAGTGCTACATAAGGTCGTTCCTACAGTCAGCCATTGGACTCAACTAGTCAGCCTATGGCAGCAGGACCAATTGTCTGAATGGACCAGGGCCACTTAGACACATTCACAGAACATTCATTCATTCATTCGCTGTGCGATACTATTTATTTATTTATGAGATGTGCAATACGTTCCCTGACATTCTTTGCCATGTTACTGTTTATCGTTAAGTTTGTCTATTGTATAAATGTCTGTTTTTCACTGTGTAAATGTGTGTTGTGCTACTGAAAACCTGCAACTTCCTTCAGAATTAATAAAGTATCCATCCATCCGATAACTGAGTCTGCTGTACTTCTGGTATCCAAGCTCTGTAACGGGGAAAACATCCAGCAATCTGTGTGTGTCCCAGACCCAGGCAATGTTTCAGAGCCCGGCCTTCTGCACTGACTTTATAAAGCGCCTCGGAAACCTAGAGCTGTGGTAAAGTTTGTTTTGCTTGTTAGGCCCCATCTTTGTGAGGCTGCCTTTAATCAAGTTGATCCCACGGGATGCTATTTTTAGCCATATTTTCGGACGGGGAGGCTCCTCCTCACTTGCACGGGGCACTAATGAGATGTAGCGAGAGGCAAGGCGAGCGCTAATTAAGGCAAGCGTGCGGAGGACGCAGGGGGGGTGCAGCGGCGACGCGGACGCCATACATACATTAACTTTAGCCCATCTCACGCCTGTGTTCTCTCCCTTGTTTTTTTAACACAGGTTTCACAAACAACAGATGGCGTCCACGCCGACCTGTGGAAGGACTGCGTATTCAAATCCAAGGTCACACGTTACCTCTGTTACACCAGAGCCTTCTCCAAAGAAAACGTAGGTGAAGACATACAGGCATCCCACCATTTACGCAGCCCCCCTTCTGTTGCCTTGTTTCTGTCACTGGTTCATCGGTTTAATTATTCACACGCCTCCGTTGATTGGCTCCGGAACTCAGCTTTTCGCTGCTGTTCTCTGTCTTGTTCCATTTTTTATTTTTCCCCCCTAATTTGAAAAGATCCTTCTGGATAAAAAAATCTTAATGTATAAGAAGTGTATAGGCGAGGTCAGACTCACTTTCATAATATTTGGAATAACAATCCACCTTTGGGGACTTTATTTTAATTTCTCAGCTCTTTTGGAGTGATTGTATTTATTTAAAAAAAAAAAAATCAAGGAAGTAGTGTATTGATCATTTGAGTCCTTGTGGAAAATTGGCTGTGCCTTTAACAAATGGAAGTAAAAATATTTTACACTTCAGGTCTCTGTGTATGAACTGTTTAAGTGTATTTCTGCCATTTCACAGCAGATGTATATCAATTCCATTTACAGTCAGCGTCTAGCTTTTGATTAAGAGCTCTTTGTTAAAAAGGCCGCTCTCCCGACTGTCAGATTGATAAAGGCACCGTGCTGCCAGATCGCAGTTCCATTGCGGTCCGTCCCAAGTGCGGGAATGCAGCAAAAGCCTCAGATTGATGATGAGTCGGCGAAGAGTTGAGCGCTGGGTGAAAATAACTCTGGTGCGCTGATGGCTCTGCACGTCGGTGGCGTTAAACTCCATTGCTCACATCTCCGCTTCTCGCCAACGCATCAGCATTCACACCCTGGCTCCCCTGTCATCGGCTCCGTCACGTGCCGCGGGAGGGACGTCGCCGGGATGACGAGGCCGCGGAGCCCCCATAATCGATGTTAATTGGCATCGTGGCCTGGCTGTTTGACAGCGGTGTGGTGGGCCCACAGCATGTGGGGGCAGCTGGACCTTTGGGGGCTACGACTGGGTCCGCTGGGCTCTCACCCTGGAGAGCAGGGCTCGGACTCTGGCATTGCTGGCAGTGTGACCCTTAAGAGGTGTTCCCATTCGGAGAGGTTCTTTCTTTTTCTTTTTCTCTTTTCTTCTCCTTCTCTCTCTTTCTCTTTCTTTCTCTGTTTCCCCTGTTACCTCCCGGTATGGAATGGGCATCTCATTCAATTCTACACAGTGCCAGCTGGGTACTGATCATGCATGTTCTTAGCCCCACCACAGGGGCTAAGAATTTACCATGCCTTCCTATGGGTCTCTGAACCTGAGGCAAGACTAAAATCCCATGTTCTAATAGTAATAATAGTACAGATGGCACAGTATGATTTTTGGACAGTTTTTTTTTTTTTTTTCTTCCTTCACTGTAAAGTACACCCGCTTCACATTTGGGAATAATATTTGGGCACCCCTTACCTTAACTGTAATAGCCTGTTAGCCAATTTCTAAACAAGCAGTAGTGTACTTTCATTTTCAACTTTCATTTTCTGTCTTTTTATATAATATACAAACCCTTTGAATTATGCCCCTGTATGTACAAAGTTAGTACTGTACATGCTGGAACTTTTATTAAAAATGTAAAATTAACAGCAATGAAAAGTTTAAGAAGCCATGTTCACAGAGACAGTGAAACACGTGAGTGAGGCTGGTCACTGAGAAAAAGATGTGCTGCTTACCCAAGACTTTTTAATATTAAATATATAGTGTGCAATTACACTAACAAATGTTGTGTATTACTAATATTTATATTATGTGTGATTTTAATCCGTCCGAGTCGCCATTTTCAGTGTTTTATTTGTCTTGCACGTTGTCTTTGAGTCTCTGCAATTTTTCGACGAGATCCAAAAATATTCCAGCTTAATTGTTCATGGCCAATTTGCGAATAACCGAATCCACGAATGTCAAATGCGCGAATCCATGCAGCCGACATGACAGCTCCAGCGCATATGCATTGCTGAACAACTAACCATCACACGATCCTCACTTCTGTTTGTCGCACAAAGGCGACAAGAATTTTCGTGATTTTTCAAGCCTGACATATCCCTGTAAAATCAGACCAGTTTCTTACCCCCTACCCCCCAATACTGCAGTTTTTGCTGGTATCAGCCTGATACCGATAGCGAGTATCTGATTGCTGCCAGGGATCGCTCCCTGCTCTGCGCTCCCACCCTGCTCCCTACACTGTGTTCCCTCCCTGCTTCATGCTCTCTGCTTCGTGCTCCCCATCTGCTCCCTGCTCTGTTTCCCCGGCTGTCCGGCACTTCCCTCTGCTCCCCACTCCCTGCTCTGTGCTCCCCCAGCTGGCCGATGCTCCTTGCTCTGTGCTCTCCTCCCTCCTTGCTCTCCTTGCTCTGTGCTCCTTCCCTGCTCCACACTCGCTCCCTACTCCCTGCTCTGCACTCGCTCCCTGCTCCCTACTCCCTGCTCCGCACTCGCTCCCTACTCCCTGCTCCGCACTCTGTGCTCCCTGCTCCGCACTCGCTCCCTACTCCCTGCTCCGCACTCTGTGCTCCCTACTCTGTGCTCCCTACTCCCTGCTCTGCTCTCCGTGCTCCCTACTCCCTGCTCTATTCTCCGTGCTCCCTACTCCCTGCTCTATTCTCCGTGCTCCCTACTCCCTGCTCTATTCTCCGTGCTCCCTCCCCACTCCCTGCTCTATTCTCCGTGCTCCCTACTCCCTGCTCTGCGCTCTGTGCTCCCTCCCCACTCCCTGCTCTGCGCTCTGTGCTCCCACCCTCTACCTGCTCCATATGTACAAAGCCGCCACTCCCTCTTCACTCCCCTCTTCCTTTTCTGTGCTCCCCCAGATGGCCGATGCTCCCTCCTCACTCCACGCTCCTTGTCCCGCACTCCCTCCTCACTCCCCACTCCCTACTCCATGCTCCCCGAGTCTGTTGATAAAACTTAATCTGGGCTGCCTTTTAGTGTGAGCGGCGGAAACAGCGCCCTGTGTGTCACTCTGAAACAAGTGCCCATACCGCTTTACGCAATATGACACAAATAAAACATGACAGCACCATCAACAAAAGCTATTTTGTCTGCCAGTCAATAGAGGCCTGGCTGTAATTATCTATGACAAAAACAGATTCTGCAAAATTAGCCGCTGAATTATGCGGCGGGAAGGAAGCAGTTTGTGATTTATCACTCTCGAGGTTGGAGGTAGATGCCCCCTTTGTCAGGTCCTGATGGGAAAAATATTTCTTTGTGCATTTAAGGAACAAAACGGGGGGGGAGAGGGGGAGTTTTCATGCATAGCAATAACATTCATCCATATCCCACCTTAAGTCAGAATAAAAACTATGAATAAAAAATGCATCTGGTGGTAATGAGTGCCGGGCGGCGCTGGGACAGGGGCTCGGCGGCGGGATGTGCCGCGTCCACATCACCCTGCTCCTCTCTGCCTGTTCAGCTTTATTGCAATTTATTATGGGTGGAAATGAGTCCGTAATGAGCAGGAGCAGAGAGGCTGGGGCAAGTTAGTTTGAAAATGGCAGCTAAACAGGCCCCTGATCGGTTTTAAACCGCTCTGGGACATGGCCGCTTTGCCAGGGGTGGGTGCGGCCAGGCGTGGCTCTGTATGTGCCCAAAGTACTGTCGTCGTCGTCTTCATCTTTATTATTATTTTTGTTTGGTGGTTTTGTTTTTTATTTGGCCAACATTTTTCCAATTACTGCTCTGCAGAAGAGATGTAAAAGATGTGTTTTTCTCAGAAAAAGCACTTGCTAAATAATAGCTACGTTATTCTAAGAATTGGTTGAATGACATCAGTGGCCCTTTGATTTTCGCAGATTATCTTTTCACTTTGTCTCTTCATTTTTGAGCCCCGTAATTAAATAAGATGGACCCCCCTGGGTGGGGAGTGGGGGCTGGGGGGTGAGTCCCATACTCAGAATTTTTCTCTGTTGAATCCTGGGGCAGACGTTTTTCTCTTTATTTCCACGGCCCCTTGAAGAGCCATTTAGGGAATGTTCTGGTCGACATGAGGCTGATCGATGCGAAGGACACGTTGCCGGTGGGCTTCATCGCCATCCAGGAAACCATAGACACTCGTGAGTAAACAGCCCCCCCTAGACCGCACCTTTCCGGCCCCCTGCCGCCCCCCCTACCCCCCACCATTGCTGGTCAGCGTCTCGCCGCATCCCCTGAGACAGCTTTGCTGGAGAGTGTGAATATTTTATGGGCACAGGTTGGCTAAATTTATGAGAGACGGTGGGAATAAAATAAACATTTTGCCCTGTAGGGAGGAGGGTAACGGAATCATGACTCATTGTTTATCTGTGGTGGTGCTCTGCCTTTAAGGGGGGGCATGTTTGTTTATGTATTTATTTGTGAAGAGTATGAGTGGATGCTGGTTATCTAATATTAATGAAACACATTCCCCACTGGTTTAATGGCTTCTGACTGCTCTGTATTTTCTTACCGCTATCTGTGCCTGGAAAACATAATAATGTTCTTTGTATGAGAGGTGAGAATGGCAAGTTTATTATTTTCATTATTGTGGAAGTGATGCCGCATTGCCCCACCCCTGCAGTATTATAAACACAGGAGTGTTATATGCACATGTTCTTAGGTGGAATAAAGAAGTAGGAAAGAGAGATTATTACTTTAAAGGTCATACATTCAAAGTTAGTTATTACCATATGTTTACTTTACAGCCTGACCAGCACTGGGTACAAGCTGAATTACCATGAAGCGAGCAGGTGTCTTGCACGCTCAACCTTTAACCTGAGCTACTGGGGGGCTTCAATCTGTACTGGTGGCACTTCTTTTGCTCTAAATATGTTTGTGAGTGTGCCTGTAATCGCATTGGTCTTTTGTATCACCCCCGAGCTGCGACGGTATCGGGGGCAGTCAGACGATCTCCACACCCAGGCTGCTCTCATTTCCCACACAGAGGAGAGAGCCTTCCGGAAGAGGAGGCTCTGCGTTAAGTTCATCCCCCGTGACTCCACTGAGACGGCCATCTGTGATGTCCAGGTCCTCGGGAGGTCCAGGGTTCCCCCACCCCAGTATACGTTCGTGGGGTGAGAAGGTCATCGTCCACTGTAATCGCATGACCACACCCACATGATTTCCACAAAGAAATAGTGGACCAAAGTGGTATTTTCCTCCCTGTTCCATTATTTTCATGTTATTGGTGAAAGCCACTGAACAGACTGTCTAAAGGCACCACTTCCTGCTGTTCCAGACTCCATCTTTGACTCTGAGTCACAGACGAGATTCCCTCTCCCCATCCCGATCAGCGTTTTATAAATGCCTCAATCCCTCTGGAAGCTCTTTAAAGAGATATGGTGCCAGGAGGACTGCTTTCCTCCAGCGAACCTGCCAGTTTGGTTATTCTCTGTGCTTTTACACCCCTTGTAGAAATGACTGCCCCCAGCTGATATTTACCAGCACGCTGAACGTTCACGTTAGCAGGAGGCTGATATCAGTCGCATTCCAGTTAGCAGCACTGCACTGTGCACAATAGCATCACCTGAGGGAATGTTCCACTCTTTCCCGCAGAGAGCTGAACAGCATACAAATTTGGTACGGAATGGGAAAGGTCCCGAAGGCGCATGAGACCAAGCACGATCATCCTGGTGGCACGTGGAGCGAAATGCAGGCCCCCGGCCCGTCCAGGTATGTCACCATCCGGAACCCCTCCCTCCGGAACCCTCCTCCGAGTCTCACTTCAGCTGCAGAATGGCGACGCCTGAGGGTCTTGCTGGGACTTGGAAGCGGGAAAGTGTCCCCCTCGGAGGGGGGTTACATGACAAGTGTCGACCGGCGGTACGGCGGTACGCTCGTTTGCATGGCTTCCCCGGCACCAAGCTGACAGCTCTGAGGAGCCATGCGGAAACTTTTCCTGGGAGGGAGAGGAGGTCCGCGTGCATAAGCTGGCTACCATCATTCCCAGCTGAAAAGCCTGTAATGGGATATTGTAATTTGCCGCATCCGGAAGGCAGAGCTCCTCCCACGCGGAGCAGACGGTGGCTTCTGTGGGGCCTGGTAACAACAAAGCGTGAAATCCACCATGGGGTGGGGGGTGCGCAAGGAAGCGCTGGGCCTCCTTTACATTTTACGACAGGGGTGGAGTGGGGGGAGACTGCTGTAGAAGAAGGGGTGTCCATTGTGACTACTCCTGCCCCCTACCTTCGGTCAAGAGAGAGGTTGTTTTTTTTTTCCAGAAGCCTATAGCACATTGTAAGTAAACAAACTGGTTCCCCTCTGAGGTTTGGGGACTGGGAACGTGGAGGCAGACCTCTGCTGTCCTTCAGAGAGAGAGAGTAGCTGTCTTGCACCATCATCCCTGTGGTCAGGTCAGAAGCCCATGGATGTCTGCTGAGCCATATCTCTCTTTTAACAGAGCCGTCTAGCTGTGGTTCACACCTGCAGGTAACGGGGCTCTCGGTCAGCTAGTGCTGCTTGTTTGTGTGTAAAACGGGCGTCACTCTCAGGCCCTTTAGTCCCGGATACTGAGGACCCGTTTTCAGGTTCAGGTTGTGTACTTGCATGGGGTGCACCCTGCCTTAAATCCGGGGCCCTTCCCGGAAATCCTTCCTCCTCCAAGGCAGCAAGGCACAGGGTGAAAAATTAATTGTACCTTGGAGCAGCTCTCTTGCCAGGGCCTGCTGTGATCCCAGGGCTGGGTCGCCAAATTACCACAGAGATTCAGGCCTCTCTGTCGCCAGAGCTTCCTGGGATCATAGGGCTGGGTCGCCAGAATAATACTGAGATTCAGGCCTCGTTGTGTCACCGGGACCTGCTGTTGGTCACAGGTCTGGGTCTTGTGTGTGTGTGTGTGTGTGTGTGTGTGTGTGTGTGTGTGTGTGTGTGTGTGTGAGTGATCCAGGTATACATTACATTGTGTGGACCAAATGTCACCACAATGTAATGATGACCTGTTATTTTTATGGCGGGGAAACTCAATTTTAGAAAAATCTGTAACTGCAATCAAAAAACTGAAAATGCCAAAATACATTTATTTTGTTTGGTTATTTGGTTAAGGTTACGGCTGGGTAGGAGTTAAGGTTGTTATTGCTGGGATTAGGGTTATGCCCATAGAAATTAATGGACAGTCCCCACAAAGATATGAGTACAGGTGTGTGTGTGTGTGAGAGAGAAATACAGGATGCAGAAGTCTGGCCCACAGCTCCTCAGAGCCCCAGGCTGAATAATTGCCAAGCCCTCAGATGAGATGTCTTGTATTATTTGACTTTTCTCAGACCAGTGAGCACCTAAATCAGGGAATCGCTTTGATCGAATACTGGGCAGCAGTCGTGATCTGCTGTGGAACAAACACAGAGGAAAGATTCTGTTTCTGGTCCATATATCTTTCACAAGATCTTTATTTTGGTAATGTCTGCATGAGCTAATCACTTGTCCTAGTGGTTGTAAGTATCTACCTGTGGTTTTTATGTGGGGGGTGGGGGGTGGGGGGAGCAGAGTTGGCTGTGTGGTTTAGGCTGATTGGGTTTTACATCAGTAATGATTACTGAACATGACAACATTCAGTTATATCTCACTTATTTTAATATGGCATAATCAAAATCAGAACATTACGTTTCTCCCAGGAGGGCTTGTCTTATTTTTTTCTGGATTCAAGTTATTAGCGCACTCTATTCAGTTGAAATATACAATTCAATGAGCTAAACTCTTCCCTTGGCCGGTTTTCTTTCATGCAAGCTTAAGAGAACTGCTTGCCCGGTATTTACCAGGTGAAGTCTGGCTTCATAAGTGCTGTGCGGCTCGGCTCAGTGTCCTCCAGAAAGGTCACCTGCAGGAAGCCATCCAGTCTCACGTTGTTGGGACCCACAGTGCTGGCAGTGAGTGACTCCCAGTTATCTGTAATTATGTGTAGTGATCCACAGTGACTCTGTGATCTGCAGTGACTCACAGTGATCTCATTTACTCAGAATCATTTCAAGTGACCCGCAATGACTCCCAGTGACCCAAAGTGACTCTCAGTGATGCCCTGTGACCCTCAGCAAATTGCAGTCAGCTCGTTACCTGCTGTCTGTTCCACTGGAGCTGGTAGGGGGGCGTCTTCAAGCCCTGCTTCTCTCGCCAAACCCAATGAAATGGCCAATCATGGGAGAGCTGCCCTCCAAACAGACTGTAGGAGTAAATCTGCCTTCAATGGATGATGGCTTTTGGCGTTTGTCACAAACTGATAGCTCTGAATATCACTAAACATATTTTTAAATTGAGGCACAACCATAGAAATATTGAGGCCAAATGTGTTTTTTTGTGTGTCGTTAACCCACACAGATTTTTTCACTGCTATTTCAAACTCCGAAGCTGGTGATGATTTAGAGCGTGTCTCCGAGGAAGGTCGGTGAATATAAATGACTAAAAATAACAGCGGCGCTAGCAGTTCCCAGTTTCAGAAGTAGCAAGAATTTGGGCCCCTTGGCCGACCAGCCTGTGAGAGTGCCGGCCATAAAAAAGCAGGTGTGTATCCACAGGCCAGAGCCTACGGTGGCCCCACTGGGCCAGTCACAAGCCACGGTCATGCGATTTGGTGATAAAGTAACAACTAAATAAACTCACGTTTTATTTTTAAAAAGTAAAAAAAATCAACCATGCCTGGCAAAGCCACCGGTGCCTGTGGCGTCCCCACGGGATTGGCTGGTTGTGCCGAGGTGTTGTCATGGAGACACCGAATATCTAAGCCTTCCTCACCCCGTGACGCCCCACATGGTGGTGGAGGTTATAGCACTAGTTGGGGGGGAGGGGGGTCAAACGGCCACCCCATCTCATCACCTGCAGGATATCTGTCAGGATACCACGTCCATATATTTAGCCCAGGCACCGTTAGCCCAGGCACCGTTAGCCCAGGCACCGTTAGCCCAGGCACCGTTAGCCCAGGCACCGTTAGCCCAGGCACTTTTAAATTAGTTATGTGGTTGCACATGAATACAGTAAAACATGATCTGGATGCTTTTTTGAATGGAGAACTGTTACAGAGGCTTTTAAGTTTCTAGGCTGACCGCACATTCCACTGCCACGTCGTGGTACTCTGTGACTTCGTGTGTGAGATAAAGACCCATTCAGCTGTCCTCCCTGACCCCCCAAGGCCTCTGTACAGACCCTAGCCTTTCTGCTAACATGCTAATGTGCTTGCAGTGGCTTAGCTTAAGGACAGTTCAGGCAGCTATTTTAAGGTCTATTAAGTTATTGCTGTTGGTGGCAGATCAAATCTTACCTCTTTCAGTGCATAGTACAACACCAGTGATGCAGAATGTTTTCTATATGAAACAATAAAACGTATACAGGTATCCCCTGCGTTACAGAAGTAGAATGTTCCTGTGAAACCTTTTTGTAAGCTGAAATGGGTAAAGCAAAGAAGCAATTACTGTTATGGCAAAAAAAAACCTGAGCATTCCGAGACTGAGAGAATAACCTACCAAATCAAACCGAAAGCCATAACATAGTTATTATCAAGTAATATGTACTGTACATAATTGTACGTGCTTTGCTTTTGTGTGACTGGCAGTGCAGTAGGTTTGTTTACTCACGTGTTTGTGGTGATACTGGTGTAATGTGTTGCACTATGACGCTACGACGGCTATGACATCACTAGACAATAGTAATTTTTCGGCTTCATTATAATCTCATGGGAGCAGCATCACATATGCGGTCCTTTGTTGACCGAAACATCATGCGGCCCATGACTATATTTAATTGGCTCGCTTTGTTCATTGCAAATGCTAAATGCTATTTTTGCTTTTCTTTTTTTTTTCATGTAAAAGCCAAAATCCGCTTTAGCGAAAACAGGTGATAATGTAGGCCTTAAACACTCGTAAAGCGGGGGACACCTGTAAATGAAAAAGGAATAGAAATAAGAAAAAGAACACAGGCATTACTATTAGTGATGCCAGTACATATTCATGCTAATATTGCTGGAAAGTTTTAATCGGATAGAAATCGGATTTTGTGTTTTTTCTGTTGTTTTTTTTTTTTTTTTATGAAAAAAAAATTAAGAATGATTTTGCTTTAGCTCTGTGTATGCAGGAAGAAATATATTCTTCAGGGGTTGAAACAAAGTTTTATATTAGAAAATAAGTGGTGTGTGTGTGTTTTTAAAGAGCACTGCAGATGTTGCTGGGCCGTCCTAAAAATCCAAAGTTCATGTCCTTCTGGGTTAACTTGGTCATCAGTAAGCCTCTTGTTGGGGACCCCCAATATTGCCATGGCGACGGGAACGCACCAGCATCCGATGGGGTCCCCTCTCTGCCCCCCCGAGGCCATGTCGGAGAAGCCACCACCTTGTTTGGGTCGGTTCTGCATTGCTCCTGTGGTGAAGTGGGATGCTGGCGCCGTCTGTGGGCTTAACTGGGATTGCCGCTAAGCGTTCCCCTCAAAGCGCCTCATGCTCATACAAATCCCACATATTAGCTTGTGCGCTTGGCTCTTTGTTCTGGTTCTGTTCTGCATAACAATTAGTTTACTGCCGGATTTTTGGTTTTCATCGTATGGCTGATCATTTCTGTAGCGGAGTATGAGGGGGAATTAACCCTTTTGATTTTCTGTGGGAAAGGAATAAATTAAACAAACCAAATAAGCAAATCAAATATTAAATGCAGAAGTATTAACACACACACAGATGATTTCCATGGGGATGCTGTATCAGAGCCAACATTGCGATTGCATATGCACACGCATGTGTGTGCAAGTGTATGCGTGTTTCTGCATGTGTGTCTCTCTGAGTTTTTGGTATTTTCCTTCATTGGCCCAGTGGCTAATGAGTTAAAAGCTGTAATTGTTTAAATCGTCCAGACTGCACTCCCACTTTCACAGTAATTTAATGAGGAACTACACTGTAATTAAATATTCAAATTAGAAATAAGTGTCAATATGGCTTCTCGTTGCCTAGAATGATGATTAATTGTGTTCAAAACTCCAGTGGCCGACATAATCTGAACCAAGCCGCTGCTGCTGATTATGTAGCAATACACTTGCCATGTTTTTGTTTTAAGAATTAGGCTGGTAATTGATTTGCCATATGCTCCGTCAGCCAGTGTGCTTAAAGGTGCTCGCAAATCCTGCCATCTACATTACGCTCATGTTCCTTGTGCTCCAAACAGGAAAGTTCCTTAGCGATATGTTAATATCCTTTCTTAAAAATTCTGACTGCTGCATTTCTTTATGGGTTTATTTCGTGACTCTCCCCTTCTAGATGAAGAGTGTTAGTGGGTTTTAAGTGTGCACAGCTTGTGTGTGGAGAAGGTTGCAGAGAAGTTGAATGTTTTATAAGGTTCATGTGTCACCAAGGCCCCGCCACAGTCCGTCCCTCCGGTCAGTTTCCAGTCTGCTGCTGTCAGCAGGGGCTGTTATTAACCTTTTAATAAATTCAAAAATGTATAAATTCCTTTAACCCTTTGTGAAACGAGATGAAATTGCAGTTTCACAGAATTATTGAAACGGTCAGAAAATGCAGTAGTTTCATGCGTAACCTTATCAAAAAGCTTATCTTGAATGATGCGTTTTCACAGGCTATGCTTATCCTGAATAGTTTTCCATAAATGGTTGTTCCTTTTCTTTCCGCAATTCTGGTAGCTAAACCATCTAGACAGATTTAGACGCGTGGAAAGAGCATCCAAACAATCTCTTGCGGTTTATCTGCGTTTGTGAAATGTCTCTCCGTATGGAAAGTCGTGTCGATCCACATTCTCCCTTCGGTAGGACGAGGCCGGTCTTCATTAAACGTGCCAATCGGTCCCGCAAGATTGATGCCAACCTTTTAAAAATTCACCACTGGCTTAGATTTAACACAGCCAAATGCTGATGTAAATAAAAGGAGGAGGGGGGTCGACCCTATCAAGGCAAATAAATCAGAGTTTGAGACTTTAGCTCATAAATATTGCAACCTGCCAGGCAGCCTGTTTTATTGCTGTTGATAGAAATTATCCCGTTTATTTATTTGATTAAAAATGACAGGAAAATTTTAACACATGAAAGACAAAATCAAATGCATCCCTGTAATTGCCCTCCTTTTTAAACTATGTTTTGGCTTTGAGAAGAGGCCGGACAGTCGCCAAAATCCCTTTCCCTCCGTTTTCTGAATTATTCGGTGTAAGAGCTTCATGGCCTCCAGGGGGCGATATAGTATCCTTCCTTGCTGTCACGGTGGTCTCACGACGTCTCGGTGTGACGCTGCAGGGTTTTCTCTTTCGCACTCCCATCGATCCGGCGCCGGTTGTCATGCTCGCAATGGAAATGCGACCACACTTTGCGCTGTCACACTCTTTGTTACACTGATGAGTTTTAATCATTTATAATTTAATATTGAATATCGACTGACCAGCTAGATTATTTTTGTCACTTTGTTCTGGGAACAAATTAGCTACGTCACTATGACATAGTGTACAGTGTTTTTTTTTTTTTATTATTATTAATAGAACAGGATGCCAGACTGTGTTCCTCGGAGTTTAAATCATCTATAACTCTGGGCTGCCAAGATCCTGCACCACCTAGTAGACCCCAGAAGAGGGAGAGGTGTGTGTGACTGGCCACACGGCACAGTCTCCATTTCACAGCCTCCCATCTTCCCTGGGGTGGGGGGGGTGGTAAGATGACTGCCTGTTGTCAGGCACTGGGGTGGGGGGGGTGGGGTGGAAATGCCAGACCATCCCACCTAATGTCATTGGAGGGGGGGGCGGCAGTTTAGCATGGCTGACAAAGATATTTAAATCATGCCCGTACCGAGGCCAGGGTGGTTTTGTTTGGAGCATCTCCTCATTCTGCTACTGAGGAGATGTTCAGTGAGGTTAAATTTAAAGCTATAGGGGCGTTGTTTCACTCATAAGGCCTCGCTAGCTTTTGATGATACATTTAGAATTAATTAACCCCAGTTGGAGTTTGTTCTTTCTGGGAGAATGAGGAGCTGTTTCGGAGGCTCGTAGCAGTTGTCCACAGCCCCCCAGCCGACCTGCAGTGCTCACGCAGAGTGGGAAATGCCCCGCTTGCCCTTTTACCGGCTAAAGCACCTCATGACAATTGAGGCCCAAACACCGAAATACCTTGGCACAAGTCGAAGCACGTTTTTAAAGTGCTGACTGGGGGGCTCTTATCAGACATATCAAATGATAATTCACCTCATCATCATTGCTATTATTGATTTTTATTTCTGGAACTTTCACCTTCACATGCGCGATTAACAAAAAAGTCAAAACAGACAAAAGGACAAGCAACCAAGAAAACAAAGGTAGAAAAAAAACATAGAAATAAATAAATATATGCAAACAAATCTATAAATGTCCTCACGCTTTTTTTCTCGTCCTTTTCTCGCCGCCCTACCTTTCATTTCGTACCTCCGCACGTATTGCAGCTTATTCTTCAGTCTGGCTTCACAGCATTAATACATTTTGATTAGCTTTTTTTTTTTTTTTTTTTTTTTGTACAAAAGAAAAACGTTATTGTTTACTCAGGAGGCCCATTGCGATCTCAATCCTAGTAAGTATGTCCGCCTTCCCCTTTCTGGCCCACTGGGAAAAATAGCTATGTGGAATTGGCTGCAGCCCTCCGCAGAGTCGTAGGTTATTTAGTGATGTTGCGGTAATTTCATTGATTTTTCTCTGCATGGCCTGGGAGACTATGCAGACAGCCCACAGATTGCTTTGAAAGCAGCATCGTGCAAAACGGTGTTTATAAAACAGCCAGTTTGCCCTTAAATGTATACTTTTTTTTTCGCAGATTTGCTACAAACAATTTTGTTAAAAACGATTTTGTTCGCAACATGCTAATATTTCACGTGTACGACTGTGGTGCATCACTGCATAACTAATGCCCCCAGTGTGCTAACTTTGTTATCCTTTTTTGTGGTAGCAGCTTTAACGTTAAACATCTATTCCCACACACACACACACAGTGGTGTTACAGCTAGCGGTGCAGCATTCACGTCGAGAACCACGTTTTGTTGTGTGACTGCGTCTGTGACGGAGGTGACCTCAGGGCAGGCGCGCTGGAGGGCTACTGTGCAGTAGGGTTTATATTCTTCCTGGCTTCTGATGAGCCTGGCTTCCTCCAGGACCCAAGTGGGAGACCCCCGCCTTAGGGTGACGTTCACCCCTTGCTAGCAGAGATTAGGCGTGTGGAGTACAAGCTTTTTGGTGGAGTCTGTGTGTGCCGGTGGACATGCTACCCAGAAGTCTGCTGGCTGAAGTATGTCGGGCAGTACCTTTCTCCAGCACTACATTGCAGATTCTTTGATCACTGTGTGAGAGGAGGCGGGTCATAGACCACTAAGCTCCTCCTCCCCCTTGGGCCACGCCCTCCATGCGTCTGTTCCCTCTCTCGTCGTATCCTCCAAGGTTGGCGCCCCCATGGGTTCATATGTCCCTGACAGCCTGCAGCTGGCTTCTGTCTTTCAGGCACTCCCTCACAACGCCCCCCGCCTGCTTTCATGGGAAGTCGGCGGCCTCGCCCCCCATCCAGCAGCACTGCATCAGCCTGTATGCCACCTCAGGTGAGCCCTTGCTCCATAATCACAATCTCATTAAGCCCATACTAATTTCCTCAGAGTTCTTAAATACAGATATTCTTACAATTAACAAATACTAATGAAGTGATCTTTACATTTATTACATATTCAGGTATCACAATGTGCAGGTTCTGTACCTTAAACTGTACATTGTTTCTTAGCTTAACATGGTAATAATCCTGCTCTGTCAGTGGTAGGCAGTGGTGGCTTAATGGTTAGGGAAGCACACTTATAATTGAAAGATTGCTGGTTTGAATCCTAGACCAGCAAGGCACCACTGAGGTACCCTGAGCAAGGTACCGCCCCCCCAAGCACTGCTCCCCGGGCACTGAATGCCCCCTGCTATGTCACCATGTCACATATGGGTTAAATGCAGAGGACACATTTCGTTGTTGAGCACTGTGTGCTATGGTGTGTCAACAATGACCACTGATCACTAAATTCTAATTGTGTCAGGAAGGCTTGTGGTCGTAGCCGTACCCGGCCGCGGTCAGCGGGTCCCGAGGCTTCCTGTGAAGCAGGCGCACCGTCGTCTTCCTTCAGAAGCCTGTCAGCCCCACGCCCCGGGATGTGCGGCGGGGCGCCTTTGTGCCGTAAAATGGCCCCGTGTTTCCCTTTAAAGACTTTCTTTTATGGTGATCTCATGTCACTACATAGCAGCAGGCCTACGTAAGAGCCTGCTGTTCCTCACAGAGTCGTGGCAGCTGCGTCTTCCCTGCATTCTTTCTGGGCTGCATGGTGAAAACTGGCCCTCGGTGACGCTAGGAAAGGAGTCGGTGACTGCAGCAGCGGCTCTTATCCAGCGGGAGAGAGACACCAAGTGGCTGAGAGCACGCTCTGCTGGAAGCGCCGGCCCACGGCCAGCCGGGCCCCTGCCTCTGTGTATTCTCTGCCCCCCCCAGGCCCTGTGTTCAGGCCCCGTCTCACAAGATTTGGCCCAGCACAGTGACTACCATTTTTTACAGTTTTTTTTTTTTTTTTTTTTTTCTTCATGGCTGCGGGGTTCGCCAAAAGGGGGCGCGGTGGCCAGTGTCGTTCTGCGAGGCGTCTCTGTGGGAGCAGAGCTTTAAGTGACAGGCAGGCACGTGTGGGGGTGACACTCTGTCTCCACGGGGGGGTGCTATCAATCTGCTCCAGGGGTCCGGACACCTGCCCCTCCCTTCCTGTCTTGCTCTCTGTAATTTAGTAAAAACCCTGCTCTGCGACGATCATCACACCGAGTTCAGTGCAGTCGTCAGAGCAGATGTGTTTGGGGGCTGACAGCTTTGTGGGGGTCATCACTTCAAAACAGAACATCCACCCCTCCCCCTTTGGCTCCATTGCCCACCCTCAAAAAATAAAGCGGGGAAGCCCTGAGCAAGTCGAGGTTCACGGCTTGAAAGTCTATCATGGGGGGGGGGGGGGCAGCTACAGATGCTCTGACGTTTATTAACAGAATATTAAAAACGGGCTCCCATCGCTGTGGCGGCCGTCGTGCTCCTGACAGCTGCAGCTCCGCACTGGGGGGGCGGGCTTCTCGCGACAGCGCTTCCGTGTCTCTCCTGTCCCTCTTTGATCCCAGACAGGGATCTTCTCCAGTCTGCCCCGCCCTGAATCGTCTGGATCTCGCTTTCACTCCTGCTTGAGGTACAAGTCTTCCCGGAGACTTCTGTAAAGTTCTCAGACCTGCGATCGTGAATAAGGAAATGCACAAAGGCTGCAATTCCACCTGATACTGGGGAGTAAAGCTCCCTCATCTTGAGGGGGGGGGGGGGATGTCCTATCATGTTCAGCACTCTCATTTGGTCCCCCCCACCCCCCATTGCTCCGGGAGCAGTCACATAAACGGTAATCTGTCCGTGTCCCTCATCCGGCCCCCTTAATCTGGTGTGTGGAGCTCTGTCGTTCTTGTGCCCATTAAGAGAAGCACAATTAATTGACGGGCGAGATACTCGGCCGTTTATATCAAGGGGGGGGGGGGGAAGATGAAAATGAAGTTCCGTTTGCAAAATGCAGCGACGGTGCGGTGACAATGATTTCTGATTTTGCAGAAGTGATATCAGGGTCCCTTATTAGAGAGCGTGCATCTGCTTTTAATTTGCCGGGCATGATTGGGAAACGCAGCGGAGCCTCCAATTAAAGCCTTGCTCTGCGCTGTTAAATGATACCCCATAATATTATAGCTTACGAAGTGACAGGTGAGCCGGCATATGAATAAAACATAAAGCCCATAATAAGAGCGCCAAACCTGACACAGTTGTTGGGGGTTTAAATGCTTGGCGTAATTTGCATATATTAATCTCCTCTCTTCAGCCTTATCGAGTCTTCCTCGCTATTTGAAGTTAAAATAGTGATGACAGGCGCGGGTATGCTTCATTTTTTTAAGGATTTATTACTTGTATAATTCTGGATCTTTAATAAGCTAATATGACTGATCCTTCTCATCCTGTGGAATTTGGTTAATTGTTCCAGATGGTGCTCACTGATTATGCAAAATTACTTTCTTTCTCCTTCTGCCCCCCCCCCCACCACCACCACCACACCATTTTTTGATTGACTAACATGGAGAAAAAAGATTATTTTTGCACAGAGCTTTCATTAAGAAGCCCCTCATCGGGACCTCAAACAAAACCTTCATCTTATCTTCCTCTTCCGTGTGACGTCAGCCGGATGGAGGATAACGCAGGACCTCCCGGCCTGGTCCAGCCCGGCCCCACACACAGTAGTACCTGTATTCATCAGTGGGCTCTTGCCGGCCAACTCCAGCAGTGCCCCCCTGCCCCCCCCTTCCCCCCCGGGACTGAGGGTCCATTAAGACTCTCACCTCAGATCTGCTTACTTTCAGCTAAACTCGGATTAAATGTACTTTTTTTTTTAAATTTTTCGTCCATATGATTTACAGCATTGTTTCACATTATGCAGGGTTTAAACCACACAATTTCTCTGTTGTAAATTATCTGAAATTTAGTCAGCGCCCCGGTCCATACTAGGAGCCACAGCCATGGAATTTGCCGGGGAAACGGCAGCTGCGATTCCCCTGTTTGCGCTCTCAGGTTTGATACACGCCATGCTGACCGCCCCCCCCCCCCCCCACAGAAGGCACTCTTCCTAGAATAAAAGCAGGGCCCCATTATTCCCGGGGCCCACAAACTGCTCCCTCAATATATGGGCCTGTCAAAGGCTCCTCATTTTGGTCCTGTACAGCAGGGTTTGTTATCACACTGCTAATTAGAACTTGATAAAAATATTTCTAGAACTCCAGTCATTAAATATAGTTTAAGGAGATTAATGGTCAAATATGCCTTAAAGATCTTTTAATGGCCCTGCTCACTTGTTAAGTCTGTTATTAATGGGAGCCTAATCCATAGTGTGAATTAAGAGCACAGTGATGGAGGTTCTGTAAATGAAGGCCTCGTCAGCGCGCAGGGCATCTGGTGCTGCCACAACCTCAGAAAAAAGCGGGCTTTCCTCGCCTGTCCGGGCCGTGCATGGAGCTCGAAGCAAAGAAAAACGTGCAGGAGGCTTCCGGGGCCCAGGGTGCCAAGTCTCAGGCAGGTTCCCTGGTGTGCATACGGGAGCCGGGCTATCACAAAGAGAGCGCCCCCTAGAGTACAGGGACCGCACAGAACACCAATAGAGACATCTCTGCTGTTTCATTTTAAATACCACATTAGGCAGGTATCAAAGGCCATGTTAAATTTAAATGTCAGCATGAGATTTTTGTTTGAAGTGGTTCTGGTGGCATGAGCGACAGCAGAGACCCAGCCCAATAATCCCGTCGGCCAGCCCGTCGCCCCCCTGGGCAGGCTGCGGCCATGGGGGGCACGCATCTGATCACCTTAACCAGCTAATAGTCTGTGCCCGTGTCACAGAGAAAGTAATGGCACACTGATTAGCATAATTAATGAGGAATGGTGGCCAGGTGTCGGCGGATTGGCTTATCGGCATGATGAATGAGCATGAGTCCGGGTTAGGGCCTGCCGGGGAGGCCGTCTCTGGCTGTCATCCGCGGCCCTGCCACTGCTTATCCTGCGCCACGTGGTGCCGCGAGGGCGGGAAGACTCTGTAACACCCATGGGGGAGGGCACTCCGCTCAACCAGATAAACACCCAAGATTTTACAGCCTCTTGTGTTGGATCTGGCTCCCGTCCTTCCTGCGCATGGCGGCGGCCGGCCAAGATGGGGGCCCCGCGTTCGACCGCTTCCCCACTACGTCCGCTGGCCTGAGCATGACGCTCCCCCTCCCCTCTAAATCATTACGGGTTAGCGTACCCACAGAACTGCTAATTAAGAGGGGATTTGTGTAATTACACCTCCTGTGTGCCCCATCCGGTGCTGGTGCGCGATTCAGTGTCAGCGCACTGCCAGCGCGCCCGTCCGGAGAGCGCCGCCTTCTTTATACATGGCGGCGGTTTGGCACTCGCCCTCCGCCGCAGCTGTGCTCCAGAATGGGGTCCTGGTGAACGAAGAGACACCCAGGGCCCGTCTGCTTAATGACCCTGATGTTCCTGAAGGTGCCATACCCACAGTCCCGTTCAGCTTCCTGTTGGCGTGCTGCTCTTCAGTGTGACTTCTTATGTCATAGCAGCAGATGACTCATTAACCTCTGGTAAATAAAACTATTGAGCTATTAAGCAGGCAGGAGTAAGTCGCCCTGTGGAGTCCATGCGGCAGCATTTCCGTCGTTATTATCAGTTCTGTTTGACACTAAAGACGTGCTTCCTGAGGTGCTCAGGACACACCATTAATGCAGCCAGCTTTGGGAGCACCCTGCCTCTTCCCTTCCAGGGTTTTCTAGAGTTTTCCTGAAGAAGGATGGAACGGCATGCCGACGGGCACATTGCCCGAGGTCTCGTTGTTGGTACATGGGTGGTCGTGTGGATAATCACCCCCTCATGTCACAGAAACACGGACCTCATCATCCCGCACAAATAGCAAAGTCAGACAGTTTGAGGTTGTTTCCATGACCGTTGTCGTCATGGAGTCTGAGGGTGTGTCCAACATTGCATATTTCTACAGCAGGTACTGAATTTGGTCAGAAACCTACTACTCAACCGTTAATGCGCTAGGTGTGTATGAAAACAGTATTCAGGCACACAGCAGTTGCCATTATTGCCTATTACCGGGCCAAGATGACATAGCATGACCCCCGCCAAAGTTAAAAACTATTTAAAAAAGAAAAAATACATATTCAAGTCGACTAATGTAACTGGACATTGTTTTATACTTAAATTTGTACAGTGAAGGCACTTCTTCCGCCATCTTGACACTAATTTTTGAGCAGACAACGACCTCTGGTTGCAGCTCCCGTGGCCTTATGGGATAGTGTGGTGTTCATCAGATGCATACTTCGGAATTTCACAGAATGTAGAATGTCATCCGGGTCCCAGTCGCCTCTCATCCATACTTATGACTCGGACATACTGCTCACGTTGCATACTAAATTTTGGCTACTACAGTCGAACTTCGTTACAACGTACCTCAGGGGACATTAAGAATTTGTACGTTATAACCATAGTACGTTGTAACCAAGTCCCTCAAAATGAATGATAGAACACAAAATGTATATAAAAAAACTTTTATAAAACACCCCTCAAGTTGACACTATGACATACAGCTTGTGTAGTTTGAAGAATATAGTTCCTATTCTGAATAGGAACTATATTCTTCAAACTAGGTTAATATCAGTTACTCAGACAGCCGACATAACGCAAAATCCACTGCCGGCTTATCGTTGAAATCGCCTTACTGGAACCTAATGTCAAACTGAAATTATGCACCTGTATGATTCAATTGGCTGAAATAAATTTCGATACCATGACACCATGCAAAACTATGAAAAAACGGGGTCTGCATGCAAGGAGTCCGGCCGGCGTAGAATGCTTCGTGAGGATAGGTTCATACAGTTAGGTGTTGCTAAGCGATGTAGATGGCCGGCAACAGCCGATTCTGAATTGTGCGCACGCTCGGAAGATGAGGCTGTACGTTGTAACGAAGGTCAGTTTGCCTATTTTCCTCTGAAAATCATACATTATATCGAAGTTTATGCTGTAAAGGTGTACGTTCTAAGCGATACCAGCAAATGGAATAATGCATTACGCGAATTCGGGACATTGAAATTTGAACGTTGTATTGGTGTAAACGTTATAAACGGGGTACGTTGTACCGAGGTTCGACTGTATATAGCAAACAAGTATGCAATTTCTGGCACTCATGTTTGGGTTACCATTTGCACTCTGAAGGCCAATCTCAAACGAGCATGGCCCATATCCACACTGACAATCTCCCCGCCTTCATCGTCACCGCAATTAAATCGGCAAACGTAACATGGGAATTATATCGATCTGTAAAGGTTTTCTTGCGGAGGAGCTACAGACTGCTGCTGGGTAGCAGCATGATGGGATGGGGTGGGGTGGGGGGGGGGGGGGGAGTACTTGGGGGGCAACAAAAGGATAAGGAATGGAGCCATGGAGCCGGAGTCATTAAAATAATCTGAAAATAGCAACTCACAATCATCTGTTCTCATGGTACGGGTCAGGAGCTGTGACACCTCCGAAATTCCTCCTGTCAGGGTGTGGGGCGGCGGGGGAGGGGGCATTTTTTATTCTCTCTCATTAGGCAATTTGACTAATGACCGGCCGCGGCTGCACGGCTACTGGGGGAGCGGCTGCTCCTTGCCGCCTGCCCGCCGCCGCCCGCCTGCCCGCCGCCGCTCTCCCTGACTGGCACAGATGGCGGGTCCAGGCGACAGAATAAACCACAATATGTCTCCACGGCTTCGTCGGGCCCCGGGTCTATTTTTCACGTCAGGACCAGAAAGGGGCCACAAAGCATCCTCCTATTGCCACCCACCCCCCTTGTCCGGCCACTTGTAGTGCTCGCTGGGAGAGGCGTGGCGGGGTCATGTCACGTTTACGGCCCCCGGTGGAGTGGGCTACGGTCAGCGTGGCCTTCATGAGGAGAGTGTCATATGGGGAGGGGGTTGGTTAACAGCAGATTGTTGGCTCCCGGCTGGGCCCACACCTTGGCTCCACCTGCCTTTTTGCTTTGGGGGGGTAACCCTGGAGATGATACCAGCAGCCTGCTGATATTTTAGGCTCTCGGCCTACATACGGTCCCCCGTGAGCCACAGGCGGCGCTGGGGTTTCTCCGTTTGTTTTCAAGTCGTGGTGTCTGGTGATGAGGGGGGGGTTCGGTGTTCTGCTCACATGCCCTAGCACCTGAGCCAAGTCCTCTGTTGATCCGTCTTTGGGAGGTGCCCCGTGCGTAAGCTGGCACGCACAGGAGGGGGTGAGCTCCTGGAGCTGTGGAAGCTTCCGGTAATGCCACATTTGACAGGGGCGGCATGAGGGATTTGCGGCGGGCACTTTGTGCCGCGGAGAGCTTCCCCCGCCGCTCTCGGCCCCCAGACCAGCCATCCGTCTGTGCCCAGGGGCTGCCGGTGACAGCGGGCGCATTTTTCATCACCCCGACCCGGCGCCGTCATTAATAAGCCGATGATCCGCACGTAGGCGCCTGCTGTATCCCCCCCTGCATCTGCCGCCGTCTTTCTGTGCCTGAACCTGAGCCGTCACCCGCAGCACCCACCCGCACTAGGTCATCGTCCGTCCTTCCATGCTGCATCGCGAGGTTGAACTGGCAGCTTTGCCAGGGGTAACATTGCATGGTTGATGTTTGGCATTTTTTCGATGCGCAGTTAGTGGACCTGTCAGTGTTTTTTAGGGTGTGAGGATAGTGGGTTTGTTTGCCGTAGATGGATACCTCAGCAGGGGAGACCCTCACGACCAAGCAGGGTGATGAGTCGAGCGTTAGGGGTCAGCCATGGACGAATTAAAGAGTGGGTGGATCGGTCCATACCACCCTGACAGACTCACATATTGCACACGGCCCAGACTCGCAGCCGCCATCACATAAGGCAGGAGTACAGCATGCATGCCTATGGGACGTCTACAGGTGGCACACTTTACCTCCAGGTCACCAGCTGGACCTGTCACCTTTGATCCCGGAGACCTCAGCCTGGTCTCAGTGCGGCACAGGAGCCGCACCCTGGCGTTTGAGTGCGAGGTGGCGTGCCGGCTAACACTCCCCCCGAAGAGGCCTCATTGTGCCTCCCGTCAGCCCATCTTAATTTAGTTTTTAACGTATTTTATAAACAAAGGGCAGCACTCGAGCCTGACAGGTCTGACACCGTCGAGTCCCGCGCCTGCCCCGTTCAGTCTGGGGTTACGCCATTAATAACCAACCGGGGCCCATCAAACCATTTTTAACTGTGATCATCATGATAAAGGGCATGCACTTAATTACAGGCCTGCTTAATTATAGCTCTGTTGAAGCTCGTTTGTTTGGGAGAATGCTAATTATACCACCGTGCTCTTGGCAACTTCTCATTCCAATCCCCCTTTTTTTTTTGCCATCGAACAAAATGGCTTATTTTCATGCAAATTGATATCTGGTGTGTGTGTTTTTTTATTCTTGCACCCCCCACCCACCCATTTTTAATTTTTTTTTTTTTTTTTGGAGTGTGCTTTTGTTTCAAGGTCCAACAGCAGACAAGACAAAACGGGGAGCAATCAGAAGCAATCAGTTCGAAAAATAAGGTGGGGGGGT